TTGCCGATGACAAAAATGAGGAAATCATGAAAATGATTCCACAATTACAAAAAACGTCAACGCCAACAAAGGATTCCATCTCAACGGTGGTTTCCAACTGGGTGTAAGGAGGTAATTAAACTGGGAGGAAATGAAGTAGTCCACATGTAAATGGCTTCATGAGGGCTGAGGGCAGATTGTATGGGAGTGATTTGCACTTAAGATTTGTAAGCAAATGCTGCCAAGCTATGGCTTCTAGCTGTGTGTGAGTGTGTGTGTGTGTGTGTGTGTGTGTGTGTGTGTGTGTGTGTGTGTGTGTGTGTGTGTGTGTGTGTGTGTGTGTGTGTGTGTGTGTGTGTGTGTATGGGTTAGCTTTAAGCCTGTGAAACACTTGTGCCTATACTGAAGTCTGTAAACCTGGTCCACACACCTGTCCCATCCACCGTGTGTGTGTGTGTGTGTGTGTGTGTGTGTGTGTGTGTGTGTGTGTGTGTGTGTGTGTGTGTGTGTGTCTTTCTGCAACTGACTGTTTGCACATTTAAACATGACGAGAGATTTGACAGACAGAAAGTAAGATAGGTAGTCAGAGACAGAGCCACGGACCAGATCATGTCATTTTTGTCAGAGGTTTGTGTTACCTGCTTTGTGTGATTTTAATGAAGAGTTGCATTTCATTTCCTGTGTGTATCTCCCTGGTTGTCCACTGGGTGTGGTTCTCTTGGAGTCACTATAAAACTGTGAATCATGGACCCTGTCTCTGTGCACCTTTCCCGGTCGTGGGTTTGCGTGTTTCAGTACACATATGCATGCACATTCTCAGTCGTGCATATCTATTTCTGCATGCTGAGCATTTGTATATGTGTTTGCATGCATTCTCTATAATCTGTGTGGACATATAGCCTGTAGCTAGCTGTGGTGTATTGAGGGCACTACATCAGGGTAAGGCAATCTGCCTCTGAACAGCTCCTTCAGGTGAGATTTATCACCACTGCACTTGGCCTCTTATTATGGCGATGGATTCCCTACCTCTGTATCTTGGTGTGCATGTGTGTGTGCGTTTTTGTGTGTGTTTTCGTAGCCCCCCCTCATGAGTCTGTATCCTTATTAAAGTGCTGCAGTGGGTAGCAGCCATTGGTTTGTGTTGACTCCACCCTCAACAACTCCTGATAGGGATCCACTGGACACGCACAGGCTGGGAATAATATAAATTGGGAATGACAAGAGAGAAGAAATAATGCTGATGAGAGGAAAGGAGAGGAGGGGAGAGGAGAGGAGAAGAGAGGAGAGGAGAGAAGAGAAGAGAAGAGAGATTTGGGCTGAATAATGATCTCCTCCTCAAACCACACCTTCTGCATTTAGCCTACAAATTGCAACAAGACAAAACTACAAATTCCAAATTGCCTGGCTGGAAATCACACAGGGTCCCAAAGCAGTGAAGCTGACTGACAGTCAGTTAGGTAGCACTGGAGAAATAGGTCATAGAGCTAAAAATACGTATCTATGTCTCTCTCTTTCTATCTGTATCTCTTAGTCTCTCCCTATCCTGTGTAAAAAACACAGATAGAAAGTCTAAATAAGGGGATGATGAAAGGAATAACTGAAAAAGAAATGCCCTTAAAAACATCAGACCTCAGGCTTACTCCTATACGAATGTAGAAAAAACTGAGAGCAAGAAAGGGAATGAGAGATTGCAACTGTGTGCGTGTTTCCCATTTTGTGTGTGTGTATGTGCATGCATGTATGTGAGTGTGTGTGTCTCCATCCACACGGGTGATACCGCACAAATGAGCAAGTGAGGGAATGAAAGGGAGAGATTGAAAGAGAAAGAAAGATCTAGAAATGGATGCTCAGGCTGTGGTTTCAGTCATCACGCGGGGCTGTTTGCACACAGAGCCGGTTATTACATGGAACTCATTTAGCTCGGCTCAGTCAGGCAGGGCAGAAATAATATTACATAGGCCCTGCCACAAACACCGCCAATACCCCACACACTATTATCTGCATCTCCCCCTCTAACCAGCACAAAGAAGCAATATTGCTGAAATATCATTTGTTAGTTTTGGACACCTGTGACACTGCAATGATTGCTGTAAAATCAATGTTCTACTGCTAAATGTATTTCATTCTGACCAACATAACACAGTGATACGAAAAGATTGTTGAATTGAGTATAAACATTGGACTATAAACACTTTTTGCCATTAGATAGTCCAAATCCACTGTAAATCCCTCTAAAGGAACTCCAAAAAGGAAGCCAGTAAGATTTAAAGGGACCCGACAAAATGCTGAAAGAATTTCCCTTCAGTCCTTTTTGCTGAATATTAACATAGTGACATGCCTTGGTTCACAATGTAAAGCACCATGGTGGCGGGTGGGGGTGGAGGGGAAGCGACTTGGAGGAATCAGATGGTTTGAGGCTGAAAAAGAATGAAAATGGAAAAGAGAGAGCCAGCAAGACAGAGAGAGGGGAAATGGCTGAACAAAAGGGAGATGGCCGAAAAAAGAGTGATGGATGGAAAGAGAGTGATGAAGAAGGAGGAAGGGAGCGTGGAAGCAAGGGGGTAGCAGGGGTGATAAGAGGACAGGGAGGGAACGAGAGGCAGAGAGATGGAGAGGGAGAGAAAGGGAGATTAAAAGAGTCTCTAATCCAGCAGAGAGATAGACAGAGAGGGGGCTGGTGGGGAAATGCCCAGTATATTGGAGCTGCTCTCCTCCACTGATTTGCCTTCACACACAAATGAACCCTCCACTGTACTTCCACACACACACACACACACACACACACACACACACACACACACACACACACACACACACACACACATGGCTACCACTGCATGCATACTTCATTCACACATGGATGAACACTTCCTGCAGAATTTACATCCACTGAATTAATTATTCCAGAGATTCAAAAAAGTTTAAGGACATTTAGGGACACAACATGGCATGGTCTCCGGCCCACAGCCAGCCACCCCGTTAGTACTGACATTGAACCAAATGTTGCTAGTTGTTTTCCCCATGTTGTTGGATAAGCCTTTAATTTATAAGACTCTTAATAGCAAGTTTTTTTGTAGACATGTTAATTGCTAGGGCTTGTTTAAAAGCTGATCGCAGTATGGTAACTGGAACGCAGTTAAACCCATACTGCGTAACGATGGCATTTATACAGTCGGAGAGGTGTTAAGGCAGTGTTGATTGCTGTGGCCTTGTGTTATAAATACATTCAGCTTTATTATTGCACATAGAGACAAATGCTGTAGTGGAGCAGTGCCAGCATCCCTGCAGGTCTACAGCTGCCTGACAACTTTGCTGCTTTGATCTCTAGCTTATTATTCCTCTTTTCTGTGGATTTAAAATCAATTTATAAGACAATCAATGAAAACTGAAACTTTGTTTATTAGTCAGTCTTTCTACTTTCACTCTTTCCTATTCTCTTTCTGACACCAACCTCATCCTGGTACCACATTGGTATTCCATGCAAATCATTCAATGTAATCCCCTTTACATGGTGTCAGTGGGGGCCTCTGGGAGCAATCTGTCCACACTTTCTCTGAGCATCCCATGTTAGAAAGGAGGGGAGAGGAAGCTCGGAGCTCATAGGTCCCACATTACTGCCTCCATGCAGTCCACCTGTCCATCCCCGTCCCATCATCACATAACATTAGTGGATACCAGCTGATTACAACATAATTAAACATTGGAATTATTCAACTTTCATATTTAATTTACTATCATTGAGGTATGCACTTTGAGTGAAATACATCTGGCCAAATACCATCACATTCAATCATGGCAGCACCCAGTTGCCCAATTCCAGTTTGCTCTCCCCTGAAGTGCTCTTCAAAACAGGCACGTACAAGGCAGTCGTTCATGGAATTGCACATAATGTCGCCTGTGTCTGCATCTCAGAGAGGCTGAGAGAGAGACAGACAGACAGACAGACAGAAAGACAGACAGACAGACAGACAGACAGACAGGCACTGGCAGGCAGTCTTTATCCCATAGCCATGCTCGGGTGAAACCTGTGCAGCATCCGATGATGATCCGATCCCTGCTTCTGCATATACGACTTTTCTTTGTTTCAAACTGCATAAGCTATATCTGCTGTGCTCAAACACTCCTCAGTTGTATGTTTATATTAGAGCTATTGTTGTGGGATTTTTTAGGACAGGTACCATTTTTTAAGTACCCGCTGACAGACGCACATCAGCTACGTTTTTGGCCGGGAGCCCAGGCGGGCAGGAGGCGTCTGCATTCCGCTGAAACCAGTCTCAGAAAAACAAAAAAAAGACCCCCAAAAAACCCACAAAGGAAACTTCACGGAAAATCCTGCCGGCTAGAGACCCATCAGTGGAATGAACTGCCGGTTAAGATGCACGTGTAAAACGCTAGATGTTATTAGAGGCTTTATTATAGGCGGTAAAGATGAATGCGAGTCTCGGAGTTGCAGCCGTACAACAGCGTATTTACCTCGGCTTATGTAGCCTATTGCCGAGAGGTCCGGCAGCAAAGGTAACGCTGAAGCCCAAAAAAGCGGGTAGTGATCTCCATTCTGCCTACCTGTTTACCCCCTATGTGCCCAAAAATGTGCACACAGGTACGGTAAAGCCAGCTAAGCTCCCGGTCAGCCTCCCTCTCCAGCCTGGCTTTGACCGCGATCTTGGCTGGCTACAGTGGCAAGGGACACACCGGGTCACCCAAATCTACCTCCAGCATTCCTCCATATCCCTGTACACACGCTGCTGTTTGCTCATGGAAATTATTGTATGAATTGCAGCGTAGCGCACAATAACCCCATGGTGCCAAAAAACAGAAACCCCCCGTCAGCTTCAAATGTAACTTTTCTTTAGGGCTGATTTGCCACCGTTGAAAATATCTCTTTGCTGTATGCATTGCATTTATAGATCTGATGGTAATCGTGCTGAAAAATATCTAGGAATTAAAGGGCTCTAAAATTGCACTGACAGCATGCACAAATAAACAAAAGCCCAAGCGCTGAGAAAACTGGTTGTACTTACGATTTGAGAGGGTTCTGTACCGCTGTGGCCATTTTGATATAGTATGATAGAATGCAACACTGCAGAGCCCGGTATTGTACATGTAATGTAGCAGCTATTTCAATTTCATTCATTCTCTGGGGCTGCGGCTGGAGAGAGCAGCCAATGGGAGGCGGGAGCGCTGTGTGACAGCTTTGGGGAAGTGTAGTTTTTACTCATGTCAACATGGAACATGCTGAGGGGGGTTGCACTACATTTACCAGCGGGGATAGCGGCTTAAGTGGACCACAGTCCCGCCTCGGACTTGTAAGTGCAAAGCCATCCCCCAGTTCCAAATGTATTTAAAAAATAAATTAAAAAACGTCTACAGTTATGTCAAGGTTGGGTTGCAGGGCTGTCTGTCAGTCTGAGGATGCCAGATCCTCTCCTGCATTGTTGCCTTGTCTGGATGGTGATGGTGGGTGAGGTTGCACTGTCCCAAAATTGCATCACGTCAGTTGCAACTTGATGGATAGGCCTACATTTCACACAAAATATAGAAGGGAAGATATTAAGAAAAACATATATAATTGTGTTTTCTTTGCAATATATGCAAGGAAAACACAATTATATATATATTTCATGTATGGCCTAAACCTCACGTCAGGTTTAAGCCTTGTATCACCTGCATTGCTCATTATAAAGAACACATTTAAAAGAACACAAAAATTGTATATTTTGTGAAAGCTATTTCATTTTCTTAATACATAGGCTACAGTTGATAATATAAAGGAAGTCAACTCTATTCTCCTACAGAAAAGTTGCAGAATATATTCAATTAGAATCTTAGCCTTCAGTGGCAAGTTTATTCTCTCTATTTAAAGTCAAATTAAGAGACGTTGTGTCTTCATAACCTTACATTAGTGGTGGCATGCTGTTAGACCCATGCTTAATCTTATATTATCTAGGTAGCCCAGCACTGAGCAGCTTTAATTATTCATTAATCAGGGGTGATGGGTAGGCCTATAATTGATTCTTTCAGACATTTGTCTCTCATGGTTGAGCCCGGAGAAGAAATTGGGACCCCCTCCAATCTCCTCACCCCTCTATCCTTTATCATTTCCTTTCTCGTTCCTTATTTACATCTTTATATGCTTTTCCATTTGTTTGGGGGAAAGCAAGGAAGCAAGGGGACGAGAAAGGTAGTAAGGAAAGGAGGAAAAGGAAGGTCCGATGGATATCAGCCAGGTCTGTTGGAGTAGCAATGCTGGAATTTCTTTCCCCATGTCCTGTAGGCAGCAGTGGCGCCGCTCTGAAGCCATTCGGTGACATGTGATATTTATAGATCTGTGCTAACAAATATTTAATGAACATTAGCAAGCAGCTCTAACATGGCAGCACTGCTCCAATAAAACACTCTCTGCCAGTTAAATAGAAACTTTCAAACCCATGTGTCTAGCTGTAATTTGGAATTGGTAAAATGTGTAAGCTATTCCCCAGCTTTAAATAGTGAAACAAATAAATGGACTTGAATTTTTTTCATTTGCGTAATTCATCTTCGGAAATAAAAAAATCTGGTAATCATCTCACAGAAAGTTATTTGAAGACATCATATCATTTAATTGTATGCTGTTTATATTTTTGAAGTTTTGTTGATAGGCAGGTCCTGTGTAATTCATCCTTTTGTCCACAGGGTGGCGCTAATGACTCAGACAAGACGATGACCGGACCAACACACAGTGCGTAATATGTCGACTTACTATAACATTTATTTGGTCATTAATACATTTTATGTCTACATAAAATCTACCAAACAAACCAATTGATTGCATTTATGTTTAATCATTCTCAATTTAGGTAGAACATGTATTAAACATTTTTATGGGATTCACGAAGAAAGAGATTCTTAATCATGAAACTGATCTGGAAAGAAGTTTTGCCATTTAAAAATATATATAATATCCAAAAATAGAAATGGTCTGAAACGATAACCTACCCGTATTTAATTCACTTCATCATGCAATTATTCTGGACTGAACAAAAAATAAGAAAGCCTTCAGGATGGCCATCTACAATGCCACATTTTTCCTCTTCGTATTAGTATTGTTGTTGCAATAATTTTTTGTATATCCATTTATGATCATTCATTAAAAAGTTTTTTTAAACACACATAATGCGTCTGACGTCACTCGCTGCGTGCTCCTCCCGCAGCGTCAGCTCACACGCGCTGTTGTTGTGATTGACAGAAGGGAGTCATGTTAACTTTCAGTTTGCTTTTCGGCCGTCACAAATTTGTTTTTAAGTAAGTAAACAACGATGTCCGACATACTGATGAAAGAAATGGAGAGCATCTCGATCAGTCCGACGAAGCCTGAAGAGTGTCCAGACGGTGCTCGGAGCTTCCTGCTGGTGGATGAACAGGAAAGCCTGCAGGTAAAGTTAGCAACTGAGCTAGCGGATGCTAACATGTAGCTGCTAAAGCTAAAAAGAGGAGAACAACAACACATATTATTATAAAAGCCAGCCACTGTCACTTATGCTAACAGTTACAGTGCTGATGAATGACTCATGTCGGCTTACAAAACACCAAGCTAAAGTCATCATGTTATTGTTTTATCTCCATTTAAGGAGCTTTCTCTCCCTTTCTCTATTATATGAATAGCCTTTACCCGTGACGTTTGTTTTTTAAGTAAAGAAATATGTGTTACCTTCAAAAAAGGGAGGCATAGCAGCTAACGTGTTTCTTATTGGGAAAGTCCCTGGTGAGTCATGGAGTGCAGCTGACCTACAGGACGCTCCCTCACTGTATTGTTAAAGCAGTACAAAGTGCAGGGCATATTGATAAAGGGTTCATTTATCCTAACAGTCTGAGATGTATAAGCTACAACCAAGCAGGACTTTTTGAATGAATACGGCCATCATTCTGGACTGTATGCATATATTCTCAACGATAGTAGAATATAGATCACCTAGTTCTTTATTTTTTTAGAAAGTTTGTTCATTTGTTGATTCAGAAACTATTTCTCTCTTTGTAGGTGGGAGCTTATCAGACAGGTACAGGTATCACAAAAAGACAAAACAATTGAAGGCTTGTCAACAAAGTTCTCCTCAGACAACATCAAGATTTGAGAATTAAGTACTTACAAATGCATGTCACCCAGCTAGAAATGATCTAATATAATGATCTCTGTGCTTGGTTAGTCAGATAACAACTCAAATATCACCATAGAAAGTGTCTGACATTTCACTGAGGATTTCCCTCTCCACATGGATTACCGTAATTTTCGGACTATAAACCGCGCCTTTTTCCCTATTTTTCGACGCTGCGGTTTATATAACGGTGCGGCTAATCTATGGATTTTTACAGCTAACGGCCAACACCTTTAACTCTATGGGCTCTATGGCCGGTCCGCGGGCCCCCACCTTTAAGCGGCGGGTTCCAGCAGGAAAAGCTGGAGGCCGGAAAAGAGTGAGACAGGTAGCGCGCAAAAGTAAAAGTGGAACCGAGAGTGGTATGCCGCTGCTGCGGTTTATATTCAGGTGCGGCTTATAGTCCGAAAATTACGGTAATAAAGGTGTATCTTATATTATCTCATATCTACCACTCACAAAGCAGTGTCACACTTGTGGTTGTCGTCTAAGTTGCAATCTTGCTACACATATTCCCAATGTTAGTACTCTAAGTTTGTTCTCACTAACTAGAGACAGTGAAAATAATAGGTAATAAAGCAGAAAGTTGTAGAAATCTTCAGACATAAATGTTAAGAAATAACCAACCTGTCCACTTCTAAAATGTCAATTATGCGGCATGACAGTTTTTCATCAGTGTCCCTAGGCAATTGTTTTACAACTGCAATACAGTCACCATTAATAGCTTCCTGTTAGTGTGTCCTTCTGCTTGATGTAAAATAAAATATCTCCTAACTCACAGGATCATTATTTTTATTTTAACGATCAAACCAATCATTACTGCATCAGAACAATTAACGTTGAACACATCACATTTGTTAGCCCTACATTTTTTTGTAGAAAGAGCTGGAGAGACGATGCTCTCTTGCGGGCACAAATGTTGGTAACATTAGTGGAGAAAACTGAAGTTATTGTTCTTGATGTGTCTTAGACTTCTTGTCATCCACCACGACTGAATTGTACAAATTGAATAACCTTTTTCCATCTATTCAATGAAGTTAGCTGGGGAGCCTATGATATCATGTTAAGACCGCCCTGCAATCCATCCTTCGTCCTTAAATGACTTTTGGCGTTGTGCTCTCCTTCCCCCTCCCCCCCCTGCAGGTCCGTGATGAGACTGACTTTGTGGACAGGCTGGGCTGTGGGGACGTGGCAGGAGTCAAGGTCCTCTCCATCTTTGGAAACACCGGCGATGGCAAGTCCCACACCCTCAACCACATCCTCTTCAGCGGGGAGAGTGTGTTCTACACCTCCAAGTCCCCCAGCTCCTGTACGGTGGGAGTGTGGGCTGCGTATGACCCATCTCTCGGCCTGGTCGCCCTGGATACTGAAGGCCTGTTGGGGGCCGCGGCCAATCAGAACCAGAGAATGCGCCTGCTGCTAAAGGTGCGTTTAGTGATCACTGGTTGGTTTGTTGAAAATACTTAATAACTGGATGTATTTATAGCAACAACTTAAAAAAAAGTGTTGATCTCTGTATTATTCAATTAGAGCTAGGTAATATGCCTTACAGATATTGATTTGATATTTGAACATGCATATCGATATTTTCTATGAAATTACGAAATTGTTTCATTATTTTAGTTTAATGCGTATGAAAATCACAAGCGTGAATATTCTAGTATTCAAATCTAAGCACTATTAGGTGCTGTTCTGTCATTTAAAAGTCAAATTAGTCTGTGCAAATGTATTCTTTATTTACAATTTTAACCGGCAGTGGCTCAGTCAGTAGGGGCTTGGACTGGGAGCTGTAGGGTCGCCGGTTCAAGTCCCCGACCAGACCTAAATATGGAGTGTGGACTTCTACTTGGAGAGGTCCCAGTTCACCTCCTGCCCTGCCTTGGAGCCCTTGAGCAAGGCACCGGACACCCCCCCACTCCCATTGCTCCCATTGCTCCCCGGGCGCTGTGCACTGCCCACTGCTCCTAGTACTAGACTCCTGGTACTAGGATGGGTTAAAAGCAGAGATCACATGTCACTGTGTGTGCTGTGTGCTCTGCATGTGTGACCATTCAACCTTCCCAATTCTATCTATCTATTCTATCTAACCAATTATTCACACAATTTAAATGTATTTGTCACTTTACATCAGTACATTGAGTATATTAAATGTATTGCTCACTCCTACACCCAATGTATTTCAGTTTTATTTAAGCATTTGTTGGATATAAGGTGGAGAAAACGTGTGTTTAGCCATTTTTGTTGATATGGAGCTAATCATTTGCGAGCTCCTTTTATTTATTGACAGATCCCAAATTGCATTATAGCTTCTCCAGGTTCCCAGTTTTTTTTCTGGCCCAGCTCAGTGTTGCTACAGGGCGGTGCTGGTAGTATCACACAGATGGGAGAGTGCTTGTTGTTGTTGTGATAGCTGGATTCAAGAGAAGGATATGGAAACACATCAAGTGTGTGTCAATGTAGTTAGCTGTTAAAAGAGGAGAATGTGAGGTTTATTTCCAATCTTTTTATTTTAATTGTTTTCCTGGAACTATAAACAATGTTCTTTTCCAGGTGCTGGCAGTGTCTGATATAGTGGTCTATCGTACACGGGCAGAGCGCCTCCACAACGACATGTACCAGTTCCTGAGCAACGCGTCGGGGGCCTACCTGAAGCACTTCACCCCGGAGCTCCGGGCCCTCTCCAACCGCTGCGGTCTGGACGTGCCTCTGTCGTCTCTTGGGCCCGCTGTGATCGTCTTCCAGGAGACTACGCACACCCAGCTGCTCGCTCATGGTAGGGGAGGGAAATGTACTTGATTCAAATGCTGTATCTGATCAGATAACAACCCTTTTGCTCTTTAACAGGATATGTTTGGGGGGTTTTAAGCTCGTTGGTGTTCCGTTTACCTGCTGAGAACCCCGGCTGAGCAGTTTAAGTTCTTTGGAGGCATCATGTTATTATTTCAAAAACAACCTGCTGTTTTAGTCAAAAAGATCAAAAGTAAAAAATGTAGAAAAAGTAGTCCGGAGTCAGAAATGGTGGTGTAACAATCAGTGAATACAATTAAAAGCTTGTGAATTACAGCAACCATGAGAGATCCTTGAGCATAGAGTCATTAATGAGCACCAAAACATTACACTGATGTTTGTAGTGAGGTCTGCGAGATTAGCCGGAGACAGAGACAGAGATGACACACACACACACACACACACACACACACACACACACACACACACACACACACACACACACACACACACACA